CAGGTCGCAAAAATTAACAATAATATAATATGTCACAAAAGTATAATAATAATTATACTTTTGTGACGTTTGAAAAAAATATATTTTATATTATGCTTATATTTTTAAATAATTATTCGTCTTTTTATTCTTTCAGATACAAAATTCTTAAATTAAAAAGTCTTCTTATTGAAAGGATTTCAATCATAAATTTTTATTAAAAAATGTTTCTTTTTATTTATTCAATATTAGTTGAGTACACACGTCAGCCACATCGGCTGCCGAGGGGTCTCAATAAACTATCTTTCTCGCGCTTATAGATACTCATAAGACTTTCTTATAGCGCTCATTTAAAATCTTTATTCGCGTCAGGCAAGTATTAAATCCCATTGAATTTGTCTGGCAATTAACACATATTTTTTAATATCATCTAATAAACACGCTGTAAAAATTTTAGAATGCCTAAAGTATGTTTTCCAGGTATAATAATTAAACATATTTGGAATGGTCGGGTTACACTTTAAACCCGAAAAAAAAAGTCTGGCATACTTATTTCTAGGTTAAATAGATGCTAAAATTTAAGAATAAACAAATTTCAGGTTGCCTAAAGAATGTTTTTTGGATTTATTTTTTTGCAAAATTTATGGGTTGCTCAGTAACGAAATACCCCCAACCCCACAGCCAGACTTAAGATTCTGGGTTCACCAGTTAATATATTATACATTTTTAGTTATTCTAGCTTCCCTAAAATATGTTCTCTAAATATGTCGTCAGCTCTTAGGCTAATATATCAGCGATCAGTATTACTATTTAAATGTAAGTTAAAGAATAAATTATGATAATTTTTGGACGTGAAGCAAGCACAATCTGAATATCCGATAAGTTCAAACGTCGAAATTATTTACTATTGTAAACAAATGGCAATCGAATTATTGTAATTTATTGGGAATATTGCAACATATCAAATATATATTCTAAGGCTCGTTTATTCTATAATACTACTATCACTATCGTCTTTTACGTTGAAATGTAAATGTTTCGTATAGCTGAAATCTTCTGAGAATATCACCAGTGAAACAAAACACTCAAGAATTAAAATATCGAAGCCATGCGAAAACTATAATGGAGGCACCCCTAGCTTCTATAAGAAGAGTTCTAGTCCAGTAAATGGAGGTTGAAACCACGGTTTAATTCGTCGACCGGTACTTTTGAAACGGATTGTGTGCCTTTTGGAAAGTAGTTTTAGGGGGGAAAATTGTAACACCGTGCTCGGCCCTAAAAAATCAGTTTTTCACAAATATCTGCCAAACTATGCAATTTACAATGAAGAAGGTAAGATAATTACCTACAAAAATGGCCCTTATCATTTTTTCCGTAGAATTAGTAGTTTTCGAGATATTCCGCCTCGAACAACCTTGAATTTTGATTGATAGGATAAATTGTTTAGTAGCTAGACTAAAATTTACTATTTTTTGATTATAAAATTTCATATTTTGGAACTTGTTTGAATTTTGTCATATTTTATTAATAAAATAACCGGGCAAACATTGCCTGGCCCAAAAATTTTCAGATTTTTACAAACTTATTCATATTTTCATTAATAATAGCTTATTTGGCAAGATCTTTCTAAACAATTGTTCTCAGAGTTGCTTTAAGCAACTCAGAAAGCTTAAAGTATTATTTGTTTTTAGGTTTAAGTTAAAGGACTACCTATACGGAACCCACAAAATACCATTCGACGTGACACCACTGCGGTAATAAAGTCAATGTGCAAATGTCTCTCTTGAAAGCTGGCGCTTTCAATGGTAAAAAGCCGACGACAGTACATTAGCTACTAAATAAAGCAACTGTAAGGAAACGCGCTGCCAGTTGTCGTTTTACTTTTCGGATTTAGAGGAGTTGTCCACGTCGATGATTATTCCTTTCTTTTATTTTCCTTCTCCTTGTCTTTCCCGTTTGCGCGAGCAATTAGACGGACAACGAAACGGAAAGTCCGGTTCTGCCGCAGAACCTGATTTAAGTCTCTCTAATAGATTGAATTGAAAATATTGGCCGCCGCTGAGAGTTAAATGCTCAGAGAAATACGAGAGCATAGAGGCGACTTAATACACCTACAGTAGTAGGTTTGTAAGTGCGCATCGTATGGGACATTTTTCATTATTTGATTGTGTTACAAAAATTTTGATTTTTTTTATTTAAATTATTATAGATAGATATACAAGGTGGTCCTAACTGTATTCCGGAAACTTCGGTAGCGTTTCCTGCAGATAAAAATAAGTAAAAAAGTTCGTATAAATGTAATGTCCTAAAATGCTTAGTTTCGGAGATATGGGGTGTAGAAATTTCATGTTTATTTCGATTTTTTCCAAATAATTTTTGAATTAACGTCAATATTTGGATGAAAATTCTTGTCTGAAAGTTTTTTGACATGAGAAATTTGATCTTGATGTTAATATAACTCCCATTTGTAGGGGGCGCCACCTACATGTGTTTTAACTGTTTTCAAGGTTAATAACTTTTTGTCCGTACCTGTAAAAAACTACTGGGTGAAAAAATATACATTTTTTTGACTTTTTACGTAAAAAATGTTTCTTGGTAAAAATCGCTACGAGGAAGCGTTCTCAAGATATTTACGAGTAGAATGGAAATAGTCAATACATGTCATTATTGACAAAAAATTCATGTTGAGTAGATAGTTATTTAACTGAAATGATAATTTTGGGAAATTTTTATTTTTTTAAATTAATCATACAATTTTCTGTGAAAAAATGATGGTAAAACAGTTTCTGTCGAACTTTTGGCACAAAAACATTTCAAATTTATGATTTCAATCTAATAACTATTTAGTCTCAACATGTTTTATTTATGTCAATGATGACAGGTAATGATAATTTCGATTCCAAATCTCAAGAAGCACTACTCGTAGCGATTTTTACCAAGAGATCTTTTTTATGTAAAAAACGTCATAAATGTATATTTTTTTACTCAGCAGTTTTATACAGGTACGGACGAAAATTTATTAGTCTTCAAACCAGTTAAAAAAATATGTAGGTCGCGCCCTATACAAGTATGAATCATATTGACATCAAAATCAAATTTCTAATGTCAAAAAATTCCCAGACCCCAATTTTCATCCAAATATTGATGTTACTTCATAAATTATTTAGAAAAAATCGAAATAAAATGAAACTTCTACACTCTGTATCTTCGAAATTAAGCATTTTAGGACATACATTTATACGAACTTTTTTTCTTATTTCTATCTGCAAAATATGCTGCCGAAGTTTCCGGAATACAGTTCGGACCGCCCTGTATATTGTGAGCGCTTGAGAGGGTATAGACGGTCAATTCTAATTTGATATGTATGACTGACGGTAACAAAACTATTTTTTTATTATCGGACAGGAGAAATTACAGTAGAAGTCAAACAGAATATGTTTGAGTTACGTCAAATCGATGTTTGAGTTACGACGAACATCCATCAATGTCACAATTAATAATCGATTGTTACTGTCAAACAAAATTCAAATTTTATTGCCAAAATGGCTCAAAAATTTAATCAAAATGATTAAGAGCTCGTTGCTAAGCTTATAAATTATTTTTCTCGAGGAAGAGTCGCCAGCAGAACACCCTTGGGCCGTAGACATGAAGTTAGTACAATGCAAAGGTGTAATATTCCTATGTAAAATACAAATTGGTAGCGTTTTTAAATAATATAGCGAGTTGCTGATGCTTAGTAAATATCAGCAAATATAAGTGATGTTGCTGATTAGAAAATAGGAGTTTCAACAGTCCAAAGGATTCGAAATCGGAAATATGTCAACAACGGATATAGAAATTCTGAAAGGCGTCAGACAAGGATGTATATTATCGTCACTTCTGTTTAATTTATATTCCGAATCGATATTCCAGGAGGCGTTGGAAGATTTAGAAGTGGGAATCAAGGTGAATGGTAAACCTATTAATAACATCAGATATGCTGACTGCTGACGATACGGTGCTCCTAGCTGGCAATGAGAAGGATTTGCAGTACCTGGTGGACAGAGCTAGCAGTATTAGTCAGAGTCATGGTCTTAACATAAACATAAACAAAACAAAATTTATTATTATCAGCAAACTAAATATTGAAAATATCAGGATACAAGTAGAAGATCAAAATATAGAAAGGGTAAGAAGATTTAAGTACTTGGGGTGCTGGCTGAGTGATAAATGGGATCCTGATGAAAAAATCAAACATAAAATTGAAATAGCCAGAAACACATTTTTCAAAATGAAAATTCTACTTGGCAACCGACACCTGAATCTGACTACTCGATAGCGAGCTACCAAATGCTACGTACTGTCTACATTGTTATACGGAGTCGAGGGATGGACGTTGAAGGCATGATTCATTTGAGATGTGGTTGTACCGACGAATGTTGAAAATATCCTGGATTGAACAAATAACAAATCTTGAAGTATTAGAAATTAATGAATAAGGACCAAGAACTATTGACTACAATAAAACGATGAAAAGCATCATATTTTGGTTATATTTTTAGGAATAACAAATATAGTTTCCTACAGCTGATCGTTGAGGGATATATTGAAGGACAACGAGGCATCGGGCGTAAACGGTTTTCCTGGTTGCGGAATTTGCGCTAGTGGTTTAATATAGGAGAGGCCAGTGCAATTATCTCTTTGGCTCAAGACAGGGAGGAATTCCAATTGATGGTCGCCAAACTCCGATGAGGAGAAGGCACATGAAGGAGAAAGGATTGGAACTAAAGAGATCGTAACTGATAAAGAATTCAAGAAAAAAATAATAAATGACGAAAAAAAAAAAACAAACTCGCTCCATCAATAATATAGAACGTAATGAACGCTTGAATATTTAGGCATTTCTAACTTGGTACTCGTAAAAATTCAATGTCATAAAAATGTAATGACGTTTCGCGTACACCGAAGTTTTATACTTAGTACACGCTAACGTGTACCTGGACACAGCGTATTTCTAAACATATGAACTTTTTAATACTAACCTGTCACTAAACTGTTGCTGCCAATCGTTCTCACACTCTGGCGGAGGTGGCGGTAACGGCGTGTCATTGTCAAACACCTCATGCTCCAAAACGGTTGGCGGTGAAGGGGGAGGCAGGTCTGGGCTGGAGACGCGCTGTTCCTGGAACAGATCGGGATAGGCCGTGCGCAAATTGGGGTTCTTGGGCGGCCGTTCGGGCGGTTTCCCTGGCACGTAGTCGTCGACGGAGATCGATGGGCCTACGATGACTGGACCGAGGAGATCGGTGGAGAGGCTGCCGCAGGAGTTGCTGTGTTGGTGCCGGGGGCTAACCATTCCATTTGCTAGACGGAAATAATGAATATAATTAATGCGTACTAATTGGAAGCAAAGAGCTACCCAACTTTTGTCTTTTATTAACTTGTTGCTTAATTATGACGAATCTACCATTTTAATTCTTTGGAAATAGTTTCGAAAATGGTCTGGTCTCTTTCTTTCACCATCATTAGTCAAGAGTGATTACACATTTTTTACATTTATTATATCGCACAACAGGGATATCGAAATATTTATTTTGCGGACACCAGTGCATCGTTTGCTCAAATAAATAAATTCTGAAAAAAAATCAGGCGGAATGACAGTAATTCTTAAGAAGTTACAAAATCGACATCTCCACTCTCAATTTTTTCAGGAATTATTGATTAACTATTAAGTAAAATAAGCCCCGCCCAGATTATTATTAGCAGCAAAAAGGAAACATTAACTTTTTCTTTATTCTTTTAATTATTTGCTTCCGTCGACGGAAAGAATATACCTACCGAAACGGTAAGTATTTTTTGTTAATTAGGCAAATTTGTTTTACGACTAAAAAGCCACTGACAAGCTGATTTCCGTTTGGACTAGTATTTAGTTCTATTAAAAATATATTTTTTTATTTCTTACATTTCTCTTTCAGCTGCGAAAGATCTAGGCTTTTGCCGAGAAATGAACATATCAAAACAATTTTTAACTTCGTTTTGCTGTTAATATATGCAGAATACTAATAAGTCAATTTGAATTTTTGCTTATTCGTATTTTTGCTACTTCTAATGCAGTAATAATTGATTGAGTTAAAATGGTTGTTCTATGTTAATGTTAACAGGACGAAAATATATTTACATAAATTAGCAGATGAATTTGTTGGATATAGATCATTGAAAGATAAATAAGAGATGTAATGTGTTAATATTATTCAATATAAGGTATCTAACCCTATGTTAATATGTAACTGGTAATGTTTTATAACAAAATCTACGAAAAAATATTAAATACCATGAAAAAAACATTTAAACAATAATGTACACTCGGCTTCAAAAAAACGCAACGGTAATTGTTTTCGTCAAATTTAAAGTGTCATATTTTTAGTCCCATTTTCATGAGTTTTGTAGCAAACTGTATATAAATATATCTACTTTAATTTACAAACTCAGTTTTTTAGGGTTCCGTACCCAAAGGATAAAAACGGGAACCCTATTACTAAGACTTCGCTGTCCGTCCGTCTGTCACAAAGGTCTATCTTATGAACCGTTATAGCAAGACAGTTGACATTTTTACAGATAATTTATCTATGTTGCCGCTATAAGAACAAATACTAAAAACAGAATTAAATAAATGTTTATAAATAAAAAAGTACTTTCACTAAACATTATCTTTTAAGTAAGAATTTTACATAGAATCTTTCAAGTCCTCGGTGACCGGGTGGTTAAAGCATTAGGATTTTACGCTGCTATGACGTTGGAGTCGTAGTAAGGCAGGTTCGAATCCTAGTCAAAGCGACTTTTTTTTAATCGTTTTTTTTTAAATTTTTACATATTTTTACATATTTATTTTTACTTTTTACATATTTATTATTGATTAATACAATTTTTAGTAATGTGTTTCTTCATTTTTATAAATTACTTATACGCCCATTCAAAATTTCAGCTAAATCGGAAAAAAAGTTTATAATAATATAGTGGTCTAATGTTGTATAGATAATGAATGGTACGGAACCATTCGTGCCCAAGTCCGACTCGCACTTGACCAATTTTTTTTTATAAACTTTAGTATTTGGCTTATTATACAGAGTTAATCGAAGGATTGTAATTTACCTTAAATTTAAAAGCCCTGTGCAATAACTTCGTGAGTAAATTTTTCTAAAACATTATTTTTTTGGTCAGAACCATGTCTTGTGAGCATTTTGTTTTTTAGCTCATGTCAGCACATCCCTCGGTTAACATTTAAGAGGGAAATGAAATTGCCACAAAATAGCTTTTTGCACGATGTTGCTAGAAACAGAGATGCCTTTAAGAGAGTGGTCGCTCACCTCTGTTAACGGAGACAACATGAGAAAAAAAGAGGAAGTCAAAATATCAACGTTTGGTTTGCTTGATAGATTAGAACCTAAAAGAATTGCTAAAATTCTGATTTAACTTTGATTTTGACATCAAAACGAAGCTGTAAGCTCACAGAAACTTTTTTTTTAATTAAATAATTTTAATGACAAGTCATTTTTCGAAAGCTGACTTAACACTTAAAATTTGAGGCTAAGAACATAGTGAAGCAACGAGGATAGCGGCGAGCAAGCAGCGCGATATCGCGGTGGTCAAGCCTCGAGGTGCTAAAACATAGTAGAGCGGCGAGGAATAGTGAGGTACTTGCAAATTTATTATTTTCATTTGCTTATTGATAATTTAAAATGTTAACAGTGGCTAAAATTCTGGGCACTAGTGTCGCAAATATTTAGTTTATTCGAAACCAACAAACCAAAAGGTGTACTGTACATGAAATTTGTACATTACAACATGAAATTTTCAAAACCCGGAGAGAGTGTAACAAGTTTCAGAACATTTACGAAAATTTATTGCCACTTCATCTCATCACTTATCTAAAATGTACCAGTTATGGTGATTACTATCTTTTTGGCCCCATAAAGTCTCTCTTACAAACACTAAATCTATTAATTTTTGAGAATCCATTGTTTTCTACAACGCGACAGAACGACGAAAACTAAATTTTTTGAATCGATCTCGCCGCTCGATCTAACCGCTCGAGCAGATCGCTTTACTATGTTTACATGTACTTGACTTCACAAGTTTGTTCTGGGCGCGACGTCGCGCTGATTGCTTGCCGCTATCCTCGTCGAGCAAGCCTCGAGGTGCTGAAACATAGTAGAGCGGCGAGGAATAGCGAGGTACTTATGCAAATTTATTATTTTCATTTGCTTATTGATAATTTAAAATGTTAACAGTGGCTAAAATTCTGGGCAGTAATGTCGCAAACATTTGGCTAGATGAAGTTTTCAAAAACCCGAGAAAGTATGGCAAGTATTAATTTTTCATTCATTTAATCATTTTCTACAGCGCGACAGAGCGACGAAAACAAAATTAACCACTCGAGCAGATGGCTTTACTATGTTCACACGTACTTGACTTCACAGGTTTGTTTTGGACGCGATGTCGCGCTGCTTGCTCGCCTCTCTCCTCGTCGCTCCACTATGTTCTCAGCATTAAGCTGGATTTATAAACTCGGGAGTTGAGGTTCAGTTGAGGTTCAGTTGCCGTTCAAAATGTTCAACGCTATGAAATGAACGCGCGCATTTATAAAGTCAGTTGGTCGAATAGTTGGCAGTTCGTTTTACGTTCAGCGGAGTTCAAAGATGGTCAATGTTTATGTCGGCAGTTGCGGGCAGTTGGCGACCGCTGGCGACGTTCGGCGACAGCCAATGAATAAGCGCCTGTCGATCACGTGAAGCACAGTACGCCGATGCATTGAAAAATGACCCTTATTGTTGTTTCATTATTTCTGTTAATGTGATGTTTATATTTTGCGTAATCGTGGATTACTGTGTTTGAACTTTGACAAATACCAGAAGTATTTTTAAATCGAAAGAAAAACGTTCGAAATTTTCACAATTCCAAACCTAACCTACAACCGAAACTGACAGTGTATAAATGCAAAAATATTGAACCTCAACTGCCGCGAACATCCAACTGCAACTGGGGCGAGATCGATTCAAATTATTTTGTTTTCGTCGCTTTGTCGCGCTGTAGGAAACGATGGATTTCCAAAAATTAATAGATTTAGTGTTTGTAAGAGAGTTTTGATTTGACAAAAAGATAGTAATCACCATAACTGGTATATTTTAGATAAGTTATCTCTCCGGGTTTTGAAAATTTCATGTTGTAGTGTCCAAATTTCATATACACATCTTTTCGTTTTTTATCTTTCGTTACAATAATATGATACTTAGTAAGAAAATCGCCTAACTGGTAATACAAGAAAATTAATATTAACATTTAAAAAAAGTACTTAAATTGAATTCTGGTTGTCTTGACTTGAGGGTAATTAGATTGATTTAAGTGATTTTACTGACTTAACTTACAGATCATCATGCTTTAAGTCAAAAATATAGATTTCATAAAAACGACTTAAATAACGTTATATTAATTTGACTTTACATAAATGACTTGTGAAATAAAATGACTTAAATCATTTGAACTTGATGTTGAGTTTGACTTAAGACTTAAATCATTTTGATTTTAGACATGACCTTAGAAACTGACTATCACGACTGCATCACAACTTTTGAAAAGACTTTGTTTCTTGAAGAACTCCAAAAGATATTAATATATACTTCAATCTCTTATTTCTTTAAGTGAATTTGATAATAATATCTACTTACCAATACTATCGGTTGTCTTCGACTCCAAAGACGAAGCCAAACTATTCCTCTTCGAATTATTCGCCGAAGCGTAATCACTAGCCGACGACGCCCTTCGCGATGGCAACGACACCTTCACCTTTGGGGTCTGAGGAGCGACGCTGAGCGGCTGCTGGCTCTGAGCCAGCTGCGGCTCCGATCTCCAGGTGTTCTTGTTGCTGCCAGTGGTGCCGTTGTTCTGTTGGTGTCGCTCGTAGAACGAGAGCAACGCTTTCTTCTGGATCGCCTTAAGAGTAGGGTCAGGAACTTTGTGTTTCTTGTTAGGGTCTAAGTACGAGTACCTTTGTTGCTTTTCTAATTCGCTAATTCTATCTGCTACGGAGAGGGCCGATTGTAACGATATCGATAGCCTAAAAGAGACAAGTAATATTAGTTTGCTATAAGATTTTTTTGCTGAAAAAATTAGATGTTTTTACAATATACCACATGATCCATAAAATTTATGATTAAGGATGCAAACAATACAGCGAAGTTTCTGAAACATTTTTTCTCAATAGTAAACATTGATATTTTTAACAATGGTACATAGATATTTTCGCAGAAACAGATTCATTAATTTTAAATTTGATACTTCTAAGTTCGCCATAGTCCACTTAATTATGTGAACACAACAAAAAATCCCACTTCTGATCTAAGAACTCTCGCAAATAATAGTGCTCTTTAGAGAAAAATAAGTAGTTAATGGCAAAAACTGAAGGTTTTATGGACCGATTCAAATGTTAAGAGAATCTTCAACTATAAGATGCATAATGCTATAGGACCTCTAACACTATACAGGGTGATCCGAACTGTATTCCAGCAACTTCGGCAGCATATTCTGCAGATAAAAATAAGTAAAAAAGTTCGTATAAATGTATGTCCTAAAGTGCTGAGTTTTGGAGATACAGGATGTAAAAGTTTCATTTTTATTTCGATTTTCTCCAAATAATTTCTGAAGTAACGTCAATGTTTCGATGAAAATTGATGTTTGTTTTTTTTACATGAGAAATTCGATTTTGATACGGGGTACACGTGTTTTAACTATTTTGAAGAGTAATAACTATTCGTCCGCACCTCGTAACTACCGTAATCAATACATGTCATTATTAACAAAAACTATAATAAGTTATAAAGTTTGTTCATTCTCACAAAGTGGTGGCCCATGGTAAAAAACTTAACGTTAAAATGGAAAACAAAGTCCAAACCACTATTAAAAAATTCTTTATTCGTGACCGGTTTCATATCATATAAAAAGTCATATGAATGTATAAAAGCAAACAAAAGATATACAATATAAACACAGATACAACATTAATTAACAAATAAACACACTAACAAGTTAAAAATTACCTTTGTCAAACCAGCTGTTCGTTTGACTTATATATCAAATAAATTGCATACGACAGAAACAACAGAAATTCTCACGGTACTAAAAACACACAAAGAGATAAGATTAACGACTAGAAAAAAGGAAAAAGAAAAAATATGTTAATAGTTATTTGACTGAAATTATAAATTTGAAAACTTTTTGTTTTTTAAATTAACCATAAATTTTTCTTCGAAAAAATGACGATAAAACAGTTTCTGTTGAGCTTTTGGCATAAAAACATTTCAAATTTTTTTCAGTCTAATAATATTTAGTCAACATACTTAATTTATATCAATGATGACAGGTATTGATAATTTCGATTCAAAATATCTCGAAAACTCACTCATAGTGATTTTTAACAAGAGACATTTTTACATAAAAAAACATTAAATGTATATTTTTACTCAGTATTTTTATACAGGTACGGACGAAAAGTTATTACTCTTCAAACCAGTTAAAAAATATGTAGGAGCCGCCCTCTACAGGTAGGAGTCATATTGCCATTAAAATCAAATTTATCATGTCAAAAAACTCAGACACCAATTTTCATCCAAATATTAACGTTAATTCATAAATTTGGAAAAAATCGAAATAAAAAAGAAATTTCTACACCCTGTATCTCTGAAACTAAGCATTTTAGGACATACATTTATGCGAACTTTATTACTTATTTTTATCTGCAGAATATGCTTCGGATCACCCTGTATATGGGTAAAAATATTTGTATTTTTAATTTGTTGCTTCACTCTCTAGGTAGGTATGAGGGGCATAAGTGTGAATAACTGTTAGGGCAGACGTTATATTCAAATATCACTATAGAATAAACTATAATATTAATTGGACTTAATTCTGGTGCTTAATTCTTGTTTTTTATGGTATATGCTTTTTCTTGCCAAAAGTCACTAACTAACATTTTTCCGAACAACCAAATTCAATCACTAACTATGTTTTGAAGAGGAGAATCGAGTGCAAAAGTCATTAACTACGATTTCTGGCTATTTATGTTTAATTTTAATACCGAATAGTTACTAACTATAACATCTTTATGCAATGCAATTCATCTTAAGTAAAGTAAGTTAGTGACTTTTGGCAGCAATGGGACGATATAATTTTTATTAACTGTATAACACACTATGGTTTGAAAAATTATTTTGGTTATTTATGATAAATTAAAAATATTTCAGTTATAACATCAATAAAATATTCATAGTTAAGCTGCCGGAATATATTACTAGTAGTATATAATTGTTTATAGGAATAAGTAAGGTATTCATAGTGGAATTAATTCCTATCCTGTAGCATAGATGCAGATACTGCCCTATATTCGAAAGCACGATCTTTCTAATGGTTATATGATTGCATTGATGTGTCATAGCAACAGAATCAGATTAAATATCCCTGTAGCAAAGCACAATAAAATACCATCGCGTCATAGAAGTACCAAAGGCCATGTTTTATTACCCAGAGATAAATAGAAAGAAAAATAAACAACCGGAGCGCAACCTTTTCCAATATGAAAATGATTGTTGTAAGGTCGCGCAACATTTTATTCGTCGCTATTAACGCTACAGAAAAAAAGGAACAAAGGTGTTTTATGCAAGGTAAACAATGCAATCTCGTAGACAGGGAGGGTACCTCATTCTGTAACGTAACATTTCTTTAATTCATAGACTAGATTAGACGCCGAACGAACGTTCTAGCTGCTTGGTATTTAAACCGATTTGTATTCGATCATGAATGATTAACAAGGACAGGCGAAAAAGATTCTTCGTAAGTAAAAATAGAAAATTCTATCTTTTGTTTTCTGATTTTATCTTCTGTTGTTAAATTTTAGTCTCTGCTCATAAAAAAACATACATATTGTTACAGAAATCAACAAAAGAATTAAGGTAGCATGGAGTACTTATGGAGCAAACTCAATCATATTCAAATTTAGAATGTAACTCCATCTAAAGAACAAAACATTCGACCAATGTGTACAACCAGTCATGATCTATGTATGCAAAACCTGACACTTTCATTTACATGACATAATATTTCATATAAACGGAAGGGACCTGATATGGAAGGTATACTCTGTTTTTTTTCTTAGGTAAGATTTCGACAGACGATGACAGAAGAAAAGCAGATGACGTCCCATACCAATCTATTTATTTTACTAAAAAAAGTTTCTAATAATTTTTAAGTTATCTATGGATGGGTTTAAATATAAATCCGTCATCCGTCGTGTCTTGTTGTTTTTAACCAGTTTTATTGGTTTATTTAAAAAATGACAGATCGTATTTCAATTTTATTGGTTTGACGGAACGATGAACGACAAACGGACGCCGATGCGTATGAACTCGCCTTTAGATTTTTGTCATTTTTGACGCTTGTCAAAGTCTTGCCAAATTATAGGTTAGAATTTTGTGTCAACCTTTGTTAAATACCCTGCGTTTTGGAAGATGATGCATGTTGATTCGTATTATTACGTGTGTTTTGTGCCTTTTGAAGTCAAGTGGAGGAAAAATCGAGTGAAAATTAACTGTACTGCACAGTTTATGGTTTATACTCGCTGCCCAGACAGAACGTTTTATACACCAATGAAGTTGCCATCGATAAAGTTTGTATACCATTTCGTCGTAGATAAGTGTATGGTAGAAGGATCAAACTAAACACATACTAAAAACTGCAGTAGCTGTAAAATATCGACATCACACGATAGGTAAATAATGGATTTTAGTACTGCAGAAAAATAATGTCAAAAGGTACTGGTTTAAAAAAATTAAGATTAAAGTTAATTAATCAACCTTTAAGGTATAAAATTTGGTAGGTGTTATTATTAATAAAATAGTTTGTTTTATTTACCTATGTTGTTTTATTTATTCTTGTGGAATATTACAAATTTGTATTTTTACATAAGTTATATTGATAAATATAATCATAAATGCGGGTAGTTTCATAAAGCTTGAAAGTAAATAATAGTTCTTTTTTATATTTTTTGGTATGTAGTGTCTTGTTCTTGTTTGTTTTGTATTAACACATACCGTTTTTATTAAATAAAATAACTCGATTACATTTTTTCAGTTTTATACAGTTTTTTTCACAATATTTTGAAGTAATCACTTGTCATCTTGTCAATCAAATTTTAAATATATCCTGCAATGCGTTCCAGTTGTGCCAACTTATTTCTTTGTAAAATAAAATAAACTACTTTGAAATTAAAATGACAGACACATCTCTCACTGTCAAGGATCTTCTCGTTGGACAGACTATATAGTGAGAATCAACCTTAAAACGGACATTATAAGAAAAGTGCGGGTGACAGAACACTCAATGGAGCGAAATATACTAAAAATATGATGAGAATACCTAAAAAAGACAGTAAAATAATAGGTTGCATACGACAAAAGACCCAGGTAATAGATGTCATTCACAGAATCAAATCCCTCAAGTAGCAATGGGCTGGACACCTGGCGAGAAGGACGGGCAACAGATGGACCACAAAAATTACAGCATGGAACCCACAAGAAATTAAGAGACCTAAAAGAAGACCAAACCTGTGATGGGACCATGATATTAGGAAATTAGCAGGGATAACTTGGTCCTGCATAACCAACAATAGACAACAATAGGCCTATCTACAAAGAGAGTAAGAGAGTATCTAAATATGTGTGAGAGGCTACACCATAACTGGAAATGGTTAAATTAGCTGAAAATGATGATGGTCCTCTATTCGTTCAGGAAAATTTAGAAAATGAAGAAGAAATAGTCAAGTAAACTGTATGTCATGTGAGTAGGATATGTCGCAGACGCATCGAATAATTCGGCATATTGCTAAAAGCCTAAGCACATTATAAAACGCCAACATCTTAAACAAAACAAGAATATTTTACAAAGTGTCTCTCTGTTTTCAGTGGCTTTGCAAAATGCCTAATCAGAATTAGACATATAAACAATGATGATATTTGCTGTATATTTCTGCAAAAGGACGCTTATTTTCAGTCATTCTTCAAAATACCT